TAAATATTAAAACATTGTCTTTGATGTACCGTATTTATTTTAGGCCTACCTACTTCAAAGCCATTATTCCACACCATATAGTTAAGGGCTGAGGTGGTAACATACACACAAGACGAGTGACCATATTTTTTTCGAGGCCACCGAAGGGAGGGTGGCTAGCCACCATATTCACCTCCTAGATCCGCCACTGCAACCTTTAACAATACCGGGATGGTTTCTGGCAGAGGATTTAATTTATACATTAATTCTAGATTAGAAAATGTAGGCCTATTGTTTAGTGTTAATTGCCTTTTTATTTGTTATTTAAGGTACACATACTCAGAAAGCATTGCATTTGTAATTCATGTCTTCACAAAGGTCTACTCTGTTCATTATTTACAAGTGGTTACATTCTCACTGTTCAGATATTAAAATGTTTTTTTTTTATATTGAAACTCTATACATATATTCTTATATTTCTTGAATTTACGCGAGGTGGAACTCTAGTTTATAAACATTTGGTGAAATATGTATAGAGTCTAAGACCTATACATCGAGTTTTATTTACACCACTCACAAACTTGGGAAATTTTGCTAACACGAATGCGTTTAAGGCCAAGCCGCCGAAAGTCAGTTTGATCAAAAAGCATTTAACGTGTCTGATGCTACAGGCTATTAGTGCTAATTATATCTCGGAAGAGACAGGCCTATTTGAATAATAATAGGCCAAGCTATATAGACTTAAAAGAAAACTCAGAAAAGGTGAATAATTAGGCTTCTGACAAAGAAACACAAGAAAAGAACAATCCCCGTCAGGAGGCCTGGCTGGCGACACCCACATATGATTGTATTGTTTTATTTTGAATTGTGCACCATGATTGGTTCTCTGAATGTTATTTATTGAGAAAGTAACATATATGTTTGATGTACTTGACAGACGGTATCAGTTACAAAATAAATAAATAATGCCATTCAATCACTGTAACGCCAATGAAAGTTTAATCAATAAAGCAAAACTCGAACCTAACTTATGGATCTTTACTGTTATTAGTCAAAAGTTTGCTCCAAAATATATTAACATGATTTAGATAGACATTTTGATTAACGTCATGCAATTTGAAATTCACTTAGATTGATTTCGATTCATATAATTTAACGGCGTTCAGAGTGATAACTTTGTTATTGTATGTTCCATTTTGTACTTGAGACGATGTGTACTACATTGATGGGTTTTTGGTAATTAAACCAGATTTCCCTATTAAGGTATGTCAGAGAGCAGAATAACACATTTGGCTAAACCATGGAGCATAAATTAAATGCTATAAACCATAAAAATTTGCTGAAACCAGAAATCTTTGTGTTCGGACAGTTCTGTCCCTTTAGAGTAATTATACAGCTCCATTATTCACTCAAGATTAATCTTTGGTCCAGTGTACAATATGGCCCATCAATTACGTAAGCTGGGCGCACGCGTACTGAGGTCGGCGTTGGCGGCCGAGACGCAATTCCCACACACACCTCTCCAGCACCTTGGTTGGCGTGCGCGAAATTTTAAGAAATAGTACCTCTAAATGGCCAGAAATGACACTCTTAGTAAAATTCATCACCATTTATAGTCAAAATAAAGCGCTAGCAAATTCTTCATAATCTTTTATCAGATTTTTAAAAATAACACTTGAATTGTTTCAAGGCATCAATACATTATCTTTACCACATTTTACAAGAGTTGTAAGTAAAAATGTTAAGTTAATAACATAGAACTGCTGCAGAACGCTCTTTTCTCAAGATCTAGTACAACAGTTCATTGTAACAATTTTCAGACATTCATTCCTCATTCATTAATTTATTTATTCAGCCAAAATAAACATACAAATCACGGAAACGTTATAAAATAAAAAACAGATGCCTCAAAATTGCATGAAGCTTCTCTCTAATAATTTCATAAATAGTTTTTAACATATTTGCTAAATAAACTGACGCTTATGACACTCTTCATTTTCGCTTGGTAATCTATTCCATTCTTAAATAGCAGAGGCATAGAATGTGCAATCAATTGGGTTTTTTTTTTGTTTTTTTTTTTTTGCACCCCATGATCTGCGCTAAAGCAGACCACGCGAAGTCGTCGGTCAATCGTCAACCGCTCTTCTTTGGATGAGAACAAGGGTTTGTCTCCCGGTGTCTGACCACCAAGTAGAATTTAGCTACATTCCGACTGCATTGGGTCAGAGGTAATTCACTTCTATATTTCGTTTTTTTGGAAAAGCTAAATAGCTAAACAACAATATTGAAATATACGCCTGACAGTCGGTCGCAGGGACAAATTTGTCTGTGCTATGAGCGGCATCTTGTCCGTCGTTACAGCAAAAGCGAAACGTGGTTGAAAAGGATCTGCCGCGCGACGCGTCATGACGTTTCGGTCAGTCACAACTCGCACCGACGCAGTGTCCCCGGACTTATAGTACCTGCTACAGATTATTCAAATAATTGTGTTATTGCAGTGAAATAGACCTCTCAGAACCGAAAGTCTATAATCTACTCCCAATCCCATCAACGGGCCTCAAACTTTCTCGGAATGAGCACACAAATCTTCCGCCATTAATTACCTGATGACCGAAGCATTCATGTTTACAATATGATACTCCTCCGCGCTGACAAAACGATTATTGTAATGAAAGTAGGCTATACATATAGACTAGAACATGAAAATCTAGCATAATCAAATTATTTACTTAAGCTCAAATATCGCCAACGTATATGCCAATTCTCGTATCAATCACCACTTTAACGGATTTCGGTCTACTTTCTAGACAGTTGTGTAAGACGTTTTACAATTACATTATCGAATCTAGTTGATATCGAGCTAGACATGCAACACTAGGTAACCTGCCGCAATTCGAATCACCTAAGTTACTTTAAATCGCTATGTTATCTCCATTAAATTTGGTGCAGTACGAGAAAATAATCAGGCAAACTGGCTTCAATTTACATACATTGTCATGGGACAAACATGTGAATGAATGTATCTCTAAAGCTTCTAAGCGCCTTTTTACGCTTTCAGTTCTAAGGAAAGCTAAAGCCTCTGTAAATGATCTTTTATGCGTTTTCATTACTTACATTCGTCCTGGAGACGGAAGAAAAGCGAGCAAATTATTGGCGTCAACACCCACGTAAAAGGGATTCTGAGGAAGAAAAGCGAGCTAACTATTTCATGCGTCCACGAAAAGATGAGAGTGATTTTTCCGAAGATAAAAGAGCAAATTATTGGCGACAACCTCGGGCGGACGAAACCGATGAGACGGAAGAAAAGCGAGCAAATTATTGGCGTCAACACCCACGTAAAAGGGATTCTGAGGAAGAAAAGCTGTCTCTTATACACATCTAGATGTGTATATTTGGATAGGCCTACTGATGCTTAGACAGTCCACATTAAATTTAGAATTAAGTTGAAATATATAAAATATACCTGTTGAAAACTTTAACATTCTGAGCTCGCTGTAATGTAATTGGTTGTGATACAACGCGTAGCCTCGTTACCTAAACGCACGTTATGATGTCAGTGACTGATACATGAAAGAATAATGATGTAGAGATAAGTAATGCATCATGGGTAATGTTACCTTCAATGTAGAGACAGCTAATGTATCATGATAATGTTATCTCGTCTCCCGTGACAAGTCCTCATCGAAATTGCACGAAACTTGATCTAGTAACGACAAGCAAATCACTCAACTAAAGCAGCTTTCTTTAATACCTTAATCACATAAAGTTTGAATTTATTTGTGTAGATTCTACGCACTCTTGGTTATGCAATTCAATTATTCAACAACCAAATCCTTGGACCATCTACATATCGAAATATGATCGTAACTCTAGCCCTCCGCTCTAGACCCTACTCCATCTTAGGAGGAAATGTTATTGGTGGATGTAATTAAATAAACAACATATAATACAAGATATTGATAAAATTTCATCGGTTGTCAAAGTTACTTTTAAAGAATTTTCTTTAAGTAAAGCCAGTTTGCTTATTTTATTTTTTGGTGTGAGCAGTTTCGCTAACAACCAGTTAGCATCGTCAGTACTTTGGATGATTGCATATTTTGTTGTAATAGGCCATATACGTTTTTAATTGAAACTGAATAGACGGTCAATTTATGGAATTTAGTACTAAAATATATACATACAAATTATTTATAAACAATTTGTGGATCATTGGAAGTTGATAAAACTTATTTGATTCTTCATACCATTTTATCTGTACTCGTTTGACAGGTTTCGACTCAAAGCCTGTTGACAAAAAGATTTTGCCATCTTAGCTCAGCTAGTCAGCTAATCTGGTGGTAGCCACTGTGTGTGCGATGAACCGTGGGGATCTCTAGGTTCACGGTTCAATTCCCATCGCTGCCTCTCCTTGTGTTTCAGCTGGTGGGCTGTAATACAAGTTACAATAGCGCATCGTCTTTCGGATGAGACGTTTAAGCCGTTGGTCCCGTGTGCATTTATGGCCCATGTGCACGTTAAAGATCGCAGTACACTCGCTCTTTTTTTTTTTTTTTGGAAAAGAGGAAAAGAGTTTTTTCATGCACTTTTTTTTGGAAAAGAATGGGGGATTGTCTCTCGGTGTACTGCCAAATCACCACCAGAAGGACCCCTCTGGAAATAAGTCTTCTTCTAGACTTTCGTGGGCTACGGTATCTTTGGTGTTTAGACCGAATAAATCCAATCCAATTTTCCCTTACCATTGGCGCATTACTTTACTTCAAAGTTAACACTTACAGTAACCATAGGGAAAATGTTCTCTATGCAGTAACCATGGCCCTGGCGCATCTTCTAGACTGCTTAAAGTTGGTCTATTTAATTTCCACATCGTTTATCGGTACGGATCTTTCCAATGCTGCAGGCTGGGATAGGAAACATATAAGTAAGCCTACTAGCATTGTACAATTATTTCGTGACGCTCTTTTAAATGTTTCCAAGCCGCATGTTAATTTCGTCAGTTTCAATCTTGTTCCTTTATTTTTCAGATTAACTCACGATGTTCGTGGCATTCGCACTAATTCTCATAATAGCACCAAATGAAATCTTCTCAGCCGAAAATGTTATCGCCACGGCTGAGAATGGACTCAAAAATATAAAGCCAGATGTTAAATGTGAGGACAAACAGTTTGCAGCTAATCCTACAGGCACGACTGTAGGGACTCCGGCAGGTTGTGTTGTAAGCGGTGATTCAAATGATGCGACATCAATCGACAAACGGGGAAATTACTTCCAACGCCCACGAAAAGATGCAGAAGATATAAACGAAAAAAGAGGTAACTATTACCTTCATCCAAGAAGTGACGAAGCAGATGAGAAACGGGCAAATTATTTCCAACGACCGCGAAAGGATGAAACTGGAATGGCACTAGACGACAAGCGAGCAAATTGGCATTACTATCGACCACCTCGGGCGGACGAAACCGATGACACGGAAGAAAAGCGGGCAAATTATTGGCGTCAACACCCACGTAAAAGGGATTCTGAGGAAGAAAAGCGAGCTAACTATTTCATGCGTCCACGAAAAGATGAGGATTATCTTTCCGAAGATAAAAGAGCAAATTATTGGCGACAACCTCGAGCGGACGAAACCGATGAGACGGAAGAAAAGCGAGCAAATTATTGGCGTCAACACCCACGTAAAAGGGATTCTGAGGAAGAAAAGCGAGCTAACTATTTCATGCGTCCACGAAAAGATGAGGATGACATTTCCGAAGATAAAAGAGCAAATTATTGGCGACAACCTCGAGCGGACGAAACCGATGAGACGGACGAAAAGCGAGCAAATTATTGGCGCCAACGTCCACGTAAAAGAGATTCGGAGGAAGAAAAGCGAGCTAACTATTTCATGCGTCCACGAAAAGATGAGAGTGATTTTTCCGAAGATAAAAGAGCAAATTATTGGCGACAACCTCGGGCGGACGAAAGCGATGAGACGGAAGAAAAGCGGGCAAATTATTGGCGTCAACGTCCACGTAAAAGAGATTCGGAGGAAGAAAAGCGAGCTAACTACTTCATGCGTCCACGAAAAGATGAGAGTGACATTTATGAAGATAAACGAGCAAATTATTGGCGACAACCTCGGGCGGACGAAACCGATGAGTCGGAAGAAAAGCGGGCAAATTATTGGCGTCAACGTCCACGTAAAAGGGATTCTGAGGAAGAAAAGCGAGCTAACTATTTCATGCGTCCACGAAAAGATGTTAAGGAAACCGACGATGCAGAAGGAAACTAAAACAAAAGTAGAAGAAATTGTTGTTGTTCACCCACATAATGTTTCACCCACATTTCATGTGACATCTAAGGTAGATTTCTAAAGAATAATAGGAATTTTTGAAAAATCTATTAAGTAAATAATGATTCATAATATTATCTCCACGATAGGTGTAAATGCCGCAGATCAAAATCGAGAAAATTATGTTTTCTCGGCAAAATTGAGGAGTATTTTTCTACAATGTGTGTTTGATTAAGAAATGAACAGTTTAGCTTTGACAAACCATTGTGTTAAGAAGGGGTAGAAAATGATGACGTGGGATCTGGTTCTTAAAAATGCACATCCTATGTTCATAGTTTATTGCTAAGCACCCTTTTTAGATTTTTGAACCTGTAGTATGCATTTATACACCAGATTGGAATTATAGAAATACGCCAAATGTTTGTTGGTTTAAATTTAAGCTGATGTTTGTTAAACATAAAGCTTAAAAAAATAAAGCACTCGGAAGATAGTTTTATGCCCTTTGTAATACTAAAATGTAAACTAATAAATATAATACCCGAGTCACACGAGAAAGTTTTCACATGTCCCGTGCTAGGGAAAATTTAGCACGCTTCTCCTGTTAATACGACGTCCATGTGAATGCCTATCTGTGTAAGATTAGCACACGATGAGTACCGAATTTGTGAAGACGATGGTGCATGGTGGGAATATCTCGGGAAGTCCTTGTAACATTTAGCACGCGTCCAGTGCTTAAAAAAATAGCCCTGATTGCCTCGTGTGACGAAAAAAATGTTGCACACATACTGTGCTAGGAAGATTTTGGCACGCGTCCCCTGCTAAATTGCATCCGTGTGAATGCCTACCTATGTAAGACAGGCACACTCAAGATAATTAGCACGGATCCGTGTGCATGTCACTGGACAGCTTATCTTTCATGTGGCGTCGCGCGTATCGTCACTGCCTGCGTCGATCTACGATGGGAAGTCTACACTTAGCACGCGCCCCTTTAACATTGTGTCGCGTGTGAATCGGGTATTAGATTAATCAATTAAGACATGGGCAGAAAAAATGTCTTCCTGAGAAAGTAACGTTATCGCAACCCACCATCGCAAACAATTAATGTAAATAGGCCTAATGTTAGAATAGTATCTGAATTATGATGAGTCTGGGTACGGCTGTAGTAGATCAAATACTTTTCGATCGATCGCATTATCGATTAATTATCAATTAATTATTGATTACTCTAATGATTTTTAAATTTATGAATGTGTATATTGAAAGGATAAACTATCCATGAATTATTACGCATGTCCCACATAATCATGTGCTGAAAATGACGTATTAAAATGTAGATGCAATTGTGATGCGTGTCATTGTGGTCGATAAACGTCACAAGATAGTCTTAAAGTGGGTTACTCAGGGGCTGACGTCATTATTATTGTTGAGTCCGCGTTCATCGTTGAATTGAAAATCGATGAGTGTTACAGCGTGCCTGTACGTATCCTTATTTGCATTTAAACGCGCTCGCTTGCTAAAACTACACAGCAGGCGACCATGACTCTGACGTCACTTCATGAGATATCCGCTTTAATAATGTACGATATGCTATTCAATCATGAGCAAACATCACCGTGTATCACATCATTCCCCAGCTAGTGCCTCCTTTAATTGAGGGAGGGGGTTTCGAGAGAAACCTTAGGAGATGCTGGGAATGATGTGATGTTTTACAGGAACCATAATATAATGTATATATATATATTACCAACATTACGCGTAACTCAACACACTGTGATATGATTCGTGCATCATTTGTAAGGGACCACTGTTTTAAACCCATAACTAGGGTTAAAGGGAAAACAGGCCCACAGAATGGTAGACATTCATCAGTGTTGGAATTCATCAAGACCGCCGTTCATGTTTTATACCTGGATTTGAAGTCCCGTCCCTTGGACATTGTTGCTAAGCTCCCACAACAAGAGCGTAATGTACGTAAAACCATGGAGGTGCCATTGTAAAACACGTGTGTTTGTGAACGCGTGTGTTACGCGAGTATTCCTGGTCCTGTTCGGATTGGTCAATTCGGAAATTTCCAATACAGTCCTTTAGATTGGAAGTCCAGTTGGTCCACTGCGTTGAGCCATATCATTATATACCCGGTCGTCGTTATATACATACTCGCTTTGGTTACATTCAGTGGTGGCGAACGACTTGGTCGTCGGACCAAAAATTACAAAATAAAATAATTTGCCTATCTAAATAACGCTATTTTGATTGCCAATTCCTATTATTATATATTGTTCTCTAAAAAAACATATTTAGGACTAAATTAAGCCATAAAAACTAGTCTTCGTCGCCTTGGTTCGGATCCCTTCGTCGGACCCCTTGTCTGCAAATTTCTAGTGCCACCGCTGATTGTAAGCACTAGTACCAATGTGAGAGAAAACAACAATAAAAATTAGTAACCAAATTTAATAAAATTATGAGTAGGCCTAAATGAAAGGCTATTAGTAAATTGTAACAATAAGTGAAGTCAAGTTTCGTCTGATGCTTATCTTCAAGGCACTGAAACGCGCTAGGATCAGGTGGTGTCTTAAGACCACTTAAATTATGTTTGTGGCTTTCATGAGCATAATGTAGAACCAGTATGATACGAAATTACGACATCCTAAACACTCACTACTTGAAACAGCATGATAGAAACAAATTATCGTTGAAGAGCTGATGATTAATGGTGTGTTCTATAAGTATTTCTGATAAAACCAGCGAGGGACGTGCTAGTTACTTATAATTCAAATGGTAATTATACAAAAAGTCGTTTTAAAAATCGTTCATTTTATTGATGATCTAGAAGAATCCCCCGAATTGACCACAAAACGTCAAATCTCATTACTTCAATCCCCAGAGTCTGGCTACATCGATCATCTGGGACTATCTAAGAATTTCATTACATCCGGGTACTGGCTAACTCTCAGTCCGTACATCTTTGGCGATTAAAGGACATCCCGAAAGAAAAGCTCAACTCAACTATTTCATTTGCTGTGGAAATGTCACAGAACGAGCTTTGTGATTATAGACAATCAATTGGCTGCCAAAAATATACACTTGGTTAATATTGAATATTTTTAATGGTTAATCCGAGCATCAATGCATCAAAATAATGATAAACACGATAATTAAGTGCACAAACATCTGACCATCTACCTCAATGATACGGTCAGTAAAATCATTGAGAAGGTAACGGAGCTGATCGGATACTGGATGAGTGATGGATAAGATAAAAACGAGGATGAACAATGTTCCAAAATGACATAAGATATCAATTTGCCATTTAAACTTCATGGAAATTTATTGGTTGTCTCGTTAGCATTATTGTGATTTGTTATGCCACGTGACGGTGCTAAAAATAAACCTTCCTTCAATCTATTTTCGTAATGAAACTTGTATCTCATTTCTTTTAGATTATAAGGCTATTTAATGCTTCAAAACTATCACAAAGAAGCAGAATGGTTTCAAAATTGCCACGCTGATACGAACTATTATAAAAATGTATAAAATCTCTCTTTGCAAAATGATTATTTAAATTCAGTCAACAAAATCCATGACAACAAAAACAACAGCATGACAAAATGATTTGAGTAAACTTTGAATTTTCCATCCGACAGCCCGGCTTGTAAGTCTCCAGGACACTCCTGTTTAACCAGTTCTTAATTAATTAGTTTTCTATCAGCGATTTTTAAAACTCATGCTCCATTATCTGGAGACAGGTCTGGGCAGAGATGGTGTCGGGACACCAGGGGTGAAGGGTTGGGGGGTGAGCAGTAGTCCGTTCAGTCCTTGTTAGTTTCCTTTCTGTGCACACTTTTCGCATTCTTTTCCTTTCCTAACTTTTTATTAGTCTTTTTTAAAGCTACGTTCACATCAAACCCTGATTCAGGTCTAGAGTCCGGAGAAAAAATCGTTAAAAATAGGTTCAGTGGTAAAGAATAGGACCGTTCACATAAAATTCGTACGATTTCCAATCTGGACTCCGGAACGATGGATCTGAGATCCATTTGCATCCTGAAATCGTACGTTTTCTTTTCTTGGACCAATCAGCAACAAGCTTGGTTGGTTCGAACCAATCAAACGCATACTTAACTTGAACAACCGTGTTCCGTGCACGATGTGAACACAGCGTTCAAAAAACGTAGCAACTCACAAGTTTTTGTCCGGGCTACGGACCGGATCCGGGCTTGATGTGAATGTAGCTTTAATGGAAGGCATATTTAAACAAGTTTAATGGCAGGCACTAACAGGCCAATCCAAAAATCCCAGGTAAAAGACGCATCACACTCTATTCTCTCGCGTGTACACTGAAAGAAGCATAAACTAACATATAAGTTCTGATTGTTGTCATGTACTAAACTAAATAACAAATAAAACAGATTCGCTAGTTTCGCATTCTGTCCACTTCTTTAATATCATTTCTAATAAAGTTGTCATTTGAGCACAAACAACTTGATTATACTTATATTTTAAATATAATCTTTTTCAAGTTTAACACAAATTAAAAGTCTCCTATAAATACATATTATACACATGCATATCAAATACAAATTATACTGACTGCAGACGACACATAATTTGTCAAATGTACGTAATATTATTACAGTCTGCGTGTAATTGGTATGTTTGTAGTATTTATACAAGATTCATACAGTATAAATTATACCTATATTACATAGTACACATACAGTATTCAATATCCATACAAAATATAGAAGCAAAAGCCTGTTTATAGTCAGCGTTCATATGCTGTATAGTATCCATACTATTAATGTGAGTATGCATAGTATTTATACAGCATGAACTGAATCCATACATACATATCATAAAGTGAATGTGGCACAGTATATGTACAGTGTAAACACATTATACAGTACATACTGGTAGTAACACTGTTAAGCTCTATTCACACTGTTAAATATGAAAATGTGAACAGAGCTTTAAGACGGGCATGTGCAGTAAGCATACAGTGTTCACGTAGTGTGTACAATTCATACATTATGTACTGTATAATAGTGCACATACATTTGAACAGTATACACTGTACAATATAAAACATCCACATATGGTATGCATACAATGTTAAAACAGTACACTTTATACTGTATACTGTATAAAGTTACAATGCAGTATTGATATGTAAAGTACTACACATATGCATACACTACAGTGCGTATACTGTATAAAACTTCATATCCCATGTATATAAAAGTTAAGTTCATTTTCTATACAGTATAAATATAGGCCTAGAATTCATACTGCAAAGGTATGCAATATATTGTCAGCAAATATGCAGTATAAAATACAGTTAATACAAACTGTTATAGAAAGAGCCCCTAGAACATACATAGTTTATACAGCATGGGTTAACATACAGAATGTATATATAACATATTAATATAATATCATATGTTTTACTCATACATATGATATTATATTAATATAATATAATATCATATGTATTACTCATACAAGGGGCTCATACCATACAGATTCTATATTAGCAAACGTAGTTATGTTTTCAAGAGGATGAAGATTTAAAGCACAAGAAATACATTCATTAATTAAAAACAAAGAAACATGTAATATTAATAATTAAAATAGTAATCATTTAAAAGTACAATAATAAAGAAAATATAAGTTTTTATAATCATTGAAGAGTTCACAATATTGGTGAAAATTAAATAACTTTTTTTAAAAATGCCAAGTTACTCACAACATGATCAATATCCCATATTTTTGGCTTACCCACAGAGAGGGTAACGCAGGAAAGAAAAAGTGAAGGTGGAATGGGAATGTGGGGGGAGGGGGGAAGAGAAGGCAAGGGAATTATTAAGAGAGGATGCAATGGCAAGACAGATTCTTCCTTCCTTGTGTAGATTAACCTGTTTTTGAAACTCCTCTGTGAATAAGTTCTGCGAATATTCTATACCAACATTATTAATCATATAGCCATAATCTCACATCAATAAAGTATTGTCCCAGTTGAGTCATTAAATTAGAACCCAATCTATTAAAAAAGCTTTTATCCATTCTACTCCACACGTTCCTATCCCTATTTCCAGCTGGTTTAAAGCAGTCTGTACAGGTACTACCAGTTTCATAACTTAACCACAAATTGTTTTTGAAATACCTTTTACCATCTACAATGAAAGCCTTAAATGGGCATCATTAGACTTATATCTTGTTTTTATACCTATCTTTATTTATACCGTAATCTTGAGCCATTGTAAATTTATATATATTTATATACTAAGAGTAACGAATGTTTTTATGTAACGTTTTTTCAGCATGATTGTAGGAGTACAAAATTGTAGAATTGTTTTAGCATAAATTTTTTGCAGTCTAAACGGTAACATGCAAATGGAAAGTAGCTTGTAGTAGCATGCTTTTCTGTTATCACTGGCATATCTGTCATCTTGTAGCATGCTTTTGCTGCTAGCACTGTGGTATCAGACATCTTGTAGCATACTTTTACTGCTAGCACTGTGGCATCTGACATCTTGTAGCATGCTTTTGCTGCTAGCACTGTGGCATCTGACATCTTGTAGCATACTTTTACTGTTAGGACTGTGGCATCTGACATCTTGTAGCATGCTTTTACTGCTAGCACTGTGGTATCAGACATCTTGTAGCATACTTTTACTGCTAGCACTGTGGCATCTGACATCTTGTAGCATGCTTTTGCTGCTAGAACTGTGGCATCTGACATCTTGTAGCATACTTTTACTGCTAGCACTGTGGCATCTGACATCTTGTAGCATACTTTTACTGTTAGGACTGTGGCATCTGACATCTTGTAGCATGCTTTTGCTGCTAGCACTGTGGCATCTGCCATCTTGTAACATGCTTTTACTGTTATCACTGTGGCATCTGACATTTTGTAAAATGCTTTTGTTGTTATCACTGTGGCATCTAGCATATTGTAGCATGTTTTGCTGCTACCACTGAAATCTTGTAGCATTCTCTTGCTGTTATCACTGAAGCATTGGATATCTTGTCTATTAGCTACCTGATGTGGTTTAAAAGGTTCAATACAGACTTCGACTCCTATTTGGAAAAAGGTAAAATGAGACCATGAGCTTAAACAAATACTGCACCATAACAGAAATAGTTACATATGTATATAAAATTACATTACTATTATTACAGTACTATAACATTTAATAATAATGATGATGTAATCCAATCTGGGTAAATAATAATAAATATAGGCTTCATCAATACCTGCATCGAAGGCTTTCAGAGGCTATAAAAATAAGCCTAATGTGTTGTAATGGGTTTGCATAAGCTTCATAATTAGGGGGGTTGCAGGGGCTTTCAAAAAGCTTGCATGGTTTCATCAGTAGTAGGGTTGTAGGGCTTCTCCAGTACTGTAGACTTGGAGCAAGTGGCGGTACTAGCGAGGGGGCAGAGAGGGCAAATATCTGGGGCCAACACTGCTTGGAGGGGGTTCATGAGTATGACTTTTGAGTATTCTTACAGGGGCTTCATTATTCCACATGAATTTGTTTTTCAATTCCAGTATGTTTTAAAATTGATTCATAAATATTCCTGACACGGTTTATTCAATGAAATATTCTATTATTGTACAAGTCAGCTTAATATGCTTCAGTGTTAGTGGCATTCTGCCTTCAGTAAAAGACCGAGAAAAAGCTAAAATTCCTTTTATTAGAATGCCTGATGCTTATCTCTTCTTTGTAGATAAGTTAGAGATAATCCAACACAAGCAAACACTCCCTTTCTGATGCACAACACTCCTCAATGATTAATTTTGTTTATTTGACCAGTGCTATTTGACTGTCAATAATAATAATTTCCTGAATTACTATCATGTATTGTGCGACATATTTTAGAATGCTGTCATAATAAATCTAGTTGCAATGAGTGCGTTGTAACCCGTCCTGCATACCAACGACACGCTTGTTTTCAATCAGTTTCCAAGCGACACTAACACCATTCAATAATTTTATCATTAATAATCTTCCTGAATCGAAATTATGATTTTCATTTCAATAAATCTTATGAAAAATTCAAAATATATTAGAAATACAATAATATAATAGAGTCACAGTTTTGAGAATGATGTTTAAATGATTTGTATTCTTTGTATATGTACTAGATTTAGCAATTTGAACTGGACAGACAACTGTATTTCAAATGTGAATTGCCTACTGTACTGTAACAGAAACATGAAAAAAATTATTAAACTTTGTTATATCACATTGCTAGATGCATCTATGTGCTCACTACAATTAGTGAAACCAGTTACTACAGTATCATGTGATTTAAAATTAACATGAATGTAAACAAACAGTAAATAAAAGTTAAAAAATAATTATATTATTATATTTTTCATAATTGCTTAAGTATCCTCACACTATAATGTGATGTATTGTTGTATTGTTGTATTCTTCTGTAAATTTGCTATGTTATACTATGGATCCGAAATATAGATTTCCGAAATAAAGAGAACATATTATATTAAATAGCTGATATTAAACCACTGAAGGAGGAAATGACCAAATATTCTTCAGCATAACTATTGTTCTGAACATGATTTGTTATGAAATTCAAACTTTATTACCAGTAGACAGCTTTAGTGTTGCTTTGAACACTGCAATGTACCTCTTGTTAGACAGGTTTATGAGATTTTTAAGAGATGTTTCCAACATGGAAATGCTTAGGCGAGACTTTTGTTTTGTTTAGTGAACCCGCTGACTGCAAATATTGATGATTTAGAATAAAAATAAAATGTAAAAAAATAAAATTTTTGGCCAATTAACGCACCCGCCGCCACTAAAAAAGTGTAAATTTCAGAAAAGTTTCAGAAGTTTTTCTTTATTTTATAACGCCCTCTACTGCCATGAAATCTCCAAAGAAAAGATATGTATATTTCTTCCTAATTATATAAATTTGAAGTATTTAACCATCCCATTTTACATTTACCAATAAGATTTTATTTTTATTTTCTCCTCCGTCTGGATGTTTTTGGCAAAACTCTTTGCTAAATAAGAAAACAAAATTTTATTTTATTCCGCCCTTCTTCAATAATCTTTAAAAAAATAAGTATGCGGAACAAGGAATAAAGAAGGCTAGCCCTATGTACCAGCTTTCCTCAGGGAAGAGCCCCAGGCAAAATCTCAGTTAGAAGCTCAGCTTGTTGGACAGGTTTATGATATGTTGTATTTCAATGTTTCCAACATAGAATCTGTGAGAAGATTATTTACCCTTGGGGATATTCAAATTTGGGATGCGGGGGTTTAGATAATTATTTTACATCATTTTTCTATGTGATTTTAATAACATTCTAAACCAACAACTGTTCTTTTCAAAACTACTATATCTATGTGGTGTACCACAAGCATTATATTATTACTTCGCCATGGAAACCTTCAAAAAATAATTTGATTTTAATGTTTTATGCGTGCTAGGCCCTCTGGGAGAACAGTAACATTTTACTGAAGAGGTAACCTAAAGAACAAATAAATAAATAATAATGTACCAGTTTTCCTCGGGCAAGATTCTTAAAGGTATAATTTCAATTAGTAGCTCAGCTGAATCTTACAAACACTTTCAGATAAGAAATCTTTGTGAAAACAAAATTAATTTAATGCTTGTTAGTACCGACGAAATTCCAGCTAAATTAATTCAATTAACTGTCAACTCAATAGTGGCTCCTATACCGTATTTAATTAACTTACCTTTAACTACTGCACTTTCCTAAATAATTAGACAAATGCTACAATATGCCCAATATTTAAAAATGGCAATCGAAGTGAACCAAAAACTAGAGACCTTTTTCTATCCTGCCTATTCTATCTAAAATTATTGAACGTGCGGTCTTCGACCAATTGTATCCACAAATCAATCCCAAATTATTCAAACAACAATCTGGATTTAGACCAAATTACTTCATTCAATCAGCATTAATGAACATTACAGAAAAGTTGTTAGACAACAGTGAAAATGGTGAATATATAGGTTTAATAATGGTTGATCTAAAAAAAGTCTTCAATACTGTAATCCATGGAATATTAATACAAAAATTACATACTTTTAATCCTTCTTTGTGTACTTTAATTTCATTTTTGTTGTAACTTTTGTACCTTACGTACAGTAGATCTTTTCATAAATTGTGGTAAGTTAATTAAGTTCCGTTATTAATTACTTTACTTTTGTGTTTTTTTCTTTGTTATACTAATTTGTATTATGTTAATGTGAAAACGGCCTTTGTGAAAAACGCATTTTTTGTGATTTAAGTTTTTCCCGTTTGAAAATAAATTTGTTTTTATTATTATTATATCTAAAATTGGTTTTGACTTAAGAATACAGTGCTGAGAAATACTGTAGCAGTCTGACTGACTGACCTCTGAAAACTGTACAAAATGCATTCAATTTAAAAAACGATCTTCAACTTTCTTTGTGGAAACAAGATTCCGTGGTAATAATCCAACTCCCCCACACCCGAAAAAAATTTGGGGTTTATATCAGAGGAAGTACTGTACGGTAACAGTAGATCAGACATTGAATGGTTAAGATATAGTTACTGTAACATGCTGGGTTGTCACTTCATCAATTTTATATACTTATTTTGTAAATATTTGCTTTTTGTTTCGCATCAAGCAGTGAGTGATTCACCATTTAAGGATCAAAAACTGTATAAAAAACAATCAATTACTGAAAAACAATTATCAACTAGAAAAGCCTCAAGGTTTTGATATCATCTACATCAATCAACCTCTACTCACCATCACAATAACTACTGAAATTTAACCTACTGCAGGTAACATTAGCACCTCATTATAATACATTCAATATAAAACATTACATGAATAAAATATATGAAGCCAAATTATGCTCTTTATATTGGTTAATCATATTCATGAATTTTTATTTTATCCCAATTAATTAGATACTGTATCTTAATTTCTGAATCTTAATCATAAGGAAGGACAAATAGTGGAGTGAAGTTGGGGCTTGACGTTCTCCTTAAAATTATAGGGTTAATGGTTTAAATTCTGTAAACATTAGGCTTTTAAAATTAAATTAGAATGGTTTAATTAAATTAATAATAACACTTCATTAGCCTTGCTACATTAAGACTTCAGTTATATAAAGAATTAAATTTAAATATTATTAATTAGTTTTGTAAAATTAATATTTTTAAAAATACACATAGGAAGAAAATTTAATATTTTAATATGTATTCATGTGAGACTGAAAAATCAAACCCCTGTTATAACAAACATACAACAATGACAACTGTAAATACAGATATTCAAACTTTACCTTAGTTGATCTTGATTTACTAAACACATTCCAAAATCGTAGCGTTTCATCGCCGGCACCTGTAACGATAGCCTCACCATCGGGAGACATTGCCTGAGAAGAATCAAGAAAACAACATTAAGAATATTTTTTTGCAGCATCATTATCTTCAATGCATCAATTCATAGGGGAAAAGTGATAAAATTACCTATGCAAGCATTAATGCTCATGGAGAACCATGAAAAAAGAAGAAAAAAAGAAGGGGGTTTCTTCAGATAGAAAAAGAGGTGGGTTCCGTAGAGAAGGAGAAGGTGCTTTAGATATAAAGAGAGGGGTTCCCTTTAGAGGACGGTTCAATTATGTGGATGCCTGATGACTAAGCTGACTGCTAACCTATTAAAGCAACATATATCTTACACCTACACTACAGATAGTGTTAGTTTGATAGCAATTAGGCAAAGATCATTAACTAATTTCAAATGTCAAATAAAGATAGTAGTTTTTTTTTGCTTTGGGAAAATTAAATACTAATATCCATGCCAGGCTATTACTTTAATATGACTACAAGTAATTGAACGACTGCAAATGTAGGTCAGGTATATATTAGTTCTGTTTCTATATATACAAGTACTTAAAAAAGTTTCCATAATATTTTAGAAAAGGGACCAGAAATAAACAATGTTTTGGAAATTATAAAAACATTCAGTGAAAGTTTCACCTCAATTGCGGGGTGATCACATGGCGTTAACATTGTTATGATCATAAAAACATTACAATTACTTATATTGAATAATGTACTGTATGAGAGATATTCGTGTCATCATCATTATTACGAAAAATCAATACAATATATTGTAGAACCAAGTAATGTATCTTTAAATAGTATAAAATTTTCATTTTACAACAGCTTTACAGTAACTGTAGCTCTGGTCCATTTTAACTCCAAAATTTAGTAGCTACAGTAGGACTGAATTGTTACCCAAAATGTTCTTGCTTCATCATAGCCTACCCTTGATGAGGAGTTTTGTAAAAATAAAAATGGTTTGCTATAACTGGTTTTTCAAATTCTGGTGTAGAGCCAGTAATCAGAAGTTTGTGTAATTAAAAAACACAAACAACTACGTAACAGTTAATTCAGAAATTTCGGGAAACCACCAAAGGTTTTACAATTTTTCAAGAAGTTGACATCGGCTTCTGCTTTAATTGGTTTTTTTTTGTAAGCTTCTCCGGTTGTCTGCATTCCAGCTTCAACAATGTATTATTTTTTTGGAAGTCCTCTATAGAAAGAAGGAGGTTTGCAGCTACACAGACCCGTAGCCAGGGGGGGGGGGGTTTTATGGTTCAGGCGAACCCCCCTTTTCCAGCGAACCCCCTCGAATTTTTGAATGAGTCACACTCGGATGGAATGTCCCTACCCAGCATTAAAAATCAAAATTTAGCACCTAATTCATTATTTGGTCATCCGTTTTTAAATTGTAGCAATTGATACAAGCCTACATTCATAGAATATCTCAGCTTTAGAAGTTCGGAGGATTTAAATTGAACGCAACTCCAGCAAACCATGACTTTACGATGGCTCACATAAGGATGGCAAACATCGATAAAAACCTGGCTGCCGTCTCAACTTTCACTGGCTTTGGCTGAAAGTTTGTAAGAAATGTACCAACCGGTAACGAAACCGGTCGCCGTCTACCTAGAGTAAATGGTGCCACCAAACGAAGCTAAAGTTTTGCGACTTAATCAACTAATGCAGATAAAGTTTTGCGACTTAATCACCTGATTGTGGATTGTGTGATTAGTAAATTCCATAGCCACACTGCCCATAGCGCACACTAAACTAGGTGCTGATGGAGCATTTTTGGGAAATTGAATCTCCCTTTTTCCATCCCAAACAAAATATTATTAATAAATCAACATGGTCCATCTCAGTCATCATAGCCAGTCACAAAATTAGGCTAGGAAGTTTGTTTTTAACAGCAGACACACACAACAGAATGGAGTGCATCAATCGGAGTTTGTTAATTTTTAGTGATGAAGAATCATAACGTAGAATAACTGACATTTTTCGTCCGTTGTTGCAAAGAAGAAAATGACAGATAGACCTTTAAGGTGGGTTATTGATTACAAAATCAATTAGCCTAGCCTAGATGTTGACTAGCTAAGTTCGCTCCTCGTTCATTTAGAGACAGAATTATATACCCCGACGACAACAAACTAGTGTAGGCCTAGGCCTAAGTACAGTAGGACGTACTACTAAGCCTAGGCTTTTGTTGTAAAAGTTAAAGTCCATGTACAGGATGCGCCATAGGCCTATATAAAAAAAAAAAACATTTTGTTTATTATTATTGGTTGGCCCGAGACCTAGGCAGGCATGCCAGCTTTACCGTCGAAAGTCCCAAGATTCGACGATGACGTCAGTGCACGTTTACAAACGCCATTGATTGGAATAAAAAAAGACGCGCTGAATTTTGTTTTTTTTTTAATGAAAGATAGAATTTATTGAACATTTATCTATATAAAAACAAGATTAATATTGTATAAATTGTATTTTTAAAGATTCATATATAATTCATATTTCATTTGGTAGACAATAAATATTCAGTAAGATATACTAAAAACGATTATTAATTCTGAAATGTGCATCAAATCTCAGCTATTATTAATCAGTATGTATTATGTTAACGTCGTCTTAAAATAATAATTTCAAATAGGCCTAGTATATAACAAATAATCATAATTAAAGTTTAGGTTCCCATGATGTTAGATGACGCATTGAATATGATGCTATATTTTGGCTCTGACTTCATTTAACGATGGCCCTGGCCCTGTCAGTAGTAATGACAATATTTGTAGATTTGTAGAATATATGTAGTAAAATAGTAGGCCTGCTATTATTTTGAGTGTACAAAATGAGAGTAAAGATTAAAGAAGTAGTAGTAGAACAAGAAGTATAGGAAGAGAAAGAGGAGGAAGAAGAAGAAGAATAGCCTTTTTTTGTTTCATAATAATAAATGTGTTGAGTATATTGATTATGCGACGAGGTTTTTTTTTTATGTTTTTCGGTGTGATTTAAAAATGCCAATTCTCAGAAAATATTTTCTAATTATATTATATTACCACCTTTTTATTACATAGATCTTTTTCAAAACATAACTGCTTTTATAACATTATATAGACCCACAAAAAGCTGC